TTTGCGCGATCGGGGCAAAAATGAGAGGTAGCACCCGAATCCATTATTGCTCCTTGGCAATTGACAAGTATGTCAAGGTCCTTCACAATGGCCACTAAGTCTGACATCATGAACACATATTCGTCCTGACTGGTACTCTGCTTCGCCACGTTCGCACCTTCCTTTGGGCCACGCCCACCTCTGCGCTGTGTCTGGTTTGGACCCCGCCCCTCCTTACCACCGCCCGGTGTAGAGACTTGTGCCTCTCATGGTGTGATATGGCACTTTTCACTAGGGAGTACATAGCACAAACTTGCAGCACCACTCTGTGTGCTATCTGCAGTTATTCCTAAATGAGGCACAGCTTTCTCGCGCAATGTGCGTGCGTGTTCCCGCGCTTGAGCGCCCTATAGCGCCAGCCTTCCAGAAGCACCCATCCACTGTCCACCAAGCCCTCTAGTGCATATATTTCTATTTCTCTCATTTGCATATTGTTCTGTCTTTATTTTTATCATGGACTCTCACTCATATATATCTTTACATACCTACTCAGTAGCGCTTCGGCTCTGCATGACCGCACTTAGGCGCGCTATATAAGCGCCAGCAGTACATACTATTACTTACTTACTTTTCCTACCTTTCACTGACCTTTTCACCCAACTTTACTTACATACTTAATACCTAGAAAGTCGCAGTAGAAATCTATTCATTAGCACATTGCATCTCACATCTCTTATCTTGCTTTATATCATCACTTAAGCTTAGTCTCTCATTTCCGCATACACACACGCACTTTCCCACGCCTCGCGCAATACGTGCACGCATTCCCGTGCCTTTGTGCCTTGCACGCACCTGCGCACTTTCTCGCGCCTCACTTCAGCGCATACCTCTAGATCTTCACTGCACTCACTTCCCCTTTAGGGTCAAACGCACTTGTCTCCTCAAGTAATGCAGACTAGGCAATGCGTGACCTTACAACTATTTACAGATACAGTCAGGAGCATCATTTTTTCCTCTCAGTATTGTTGTTTCTACACCGGCCTCCAGCAATCTTGCTTATAGTGGCCTTTTCGCTCGCAATTGAAACAGGTAACGTCCAAATTCTCCTTACTCGTGGCTCCAGACTTTTTACCTCTCCCAGGACCAGACTTGGCTATGAGAGCCGAGTTCCCAGGCTTCTTGGACCCACGTTTATCTGTCAACTGACGGTGCTCATATTCTTCACTAATCACGGTGATGAGTTCGTTTGAGGTGAGTGGTGTCTGCGTTATCCTGGCTGCGGTGCTGATGGATGACAGAATGGGTCTGTATGACTCTGGCAATGAGCCCAAAAGGATGGCATGAAAATCGCGATCTTCGATGGACGCTCCCATCCCAGCCAAGGACTTGCACAGCCTCAAGACTTCGGCGAAATGCGCCTTGATGTCTCCATTCTCTTCACAACATAAGTCTTGCAGGCGTCTTCGCAAGTCTACCTGCACTAATTCCATCTTTCCTTCATGGATATGACAGATCTCGGCCCATATGGTTGATGCGCTGTCGAGTTTTTGGACTCGTAGCAGCAACCTGTCGGTTATAGTGCTGAAGACGTGTTGTCTTACAAGTGAGTCTTTTTGATAGTATTTGTCTAGCTTCTTATCAGCCTCGTCGATCTCCGTTTGAGTAGGAGTTGAGCCGTCCAATTTTGTCACTGCACCTGTGGTCACATCTACCTTGAAAGGTATTGGTTTGATTGCCCGGCCGTCCACATAACGCATCAGACCTCGTGCACCAATCGCCGTCAACATGCGTTCCTTGTAGGTTATCCAATTAGTGCCATCCTCGGCTAACTTTGGTATGTTGAACAGGTTCGAATTGGTGGCGGGGATTGTGGTGTCCATTGCCAGGTCAGGGCTCATAACCTCTTGTGAGTTGAGACGAGCAAACGACAGGGGAGAGCTAGAATGACAAAGTATATCTCAGTCTCTCGAAAATAGACTCTAACATTATATGTACCTAGAACAACAAAGTATCTAGGTCTCGTTAGTTTTTGTAAACGTTAGGTAGAACTACATATGTACTCACATCTCAGTCTCTTGAAAACAGGACTGAGATGTTGCTATGAAATGCGAACTGTTTTAACTCCAGATGGAATAGGAATGAAATTTTAGCAATATATTGAAATGTACGAGCTGACGTCAAGTGTCGCTCGTTCTGCTCTTTTGGTATGCGCTTGAACTGTCATCTCTCCTCATCGTCCTGATCTCAGATCCATCGGCCAAAGTACCTTCAGATCGCTCGGAGTTCAACAGTATGATGGTCAACAGAACTACGATATAGATATAGATTATGATAGTATATGATGAATCAGAGTAATATCTTATAAACATTTATTATTCTCACAATTAGAGGAGATTAAGAGTCAAACATAATTGAATTAACTAAAATATGTAGCCTCAAAATGGCTCAATGTAGGCCTTATAAAATCAATATGTCATAGAAATTGATGACAAAATAATGAAGGAAATAAACTAATATTCATTCAGATGTTCACTCAAATATTAAAGCAAGAAGTTTAGGGGAGTTTTGATTTATTTGTTCAGAGAGGAAAACAAAGCCCCTTTTATACTATTTTAATTGTAGCTGTGTAATTAAGAGCAACAAAGAAACATTAGGACTCAAAAGTATGAGAGTCCAGAACACTGAAGCGGCAGAGGATTGAGCCAAAGTTGTAGCTTCTGTTTTTTTTTTACTCAGGTGATTTTGGCAGTCACTGCAGCGCTATAGACTTACCTCCAATTAGCAGACAAGTTCTCTTCATATGCATCTTACCTGCAAAAATTCCATTTAGAACTGATATACGAAAAAATTGAAGTGTTTCCTGCCAAGCAGTGAGAAATGCTTGATGAATCAGGGCAACATTGACTGCTTACCAGTATTGAGCTCCAAGTTCAAGTCCTGTGTAATCAAACTTAAGAAAAAGCAGAGTAAGGAGTATAACATACTCTTATATCTCCATTTGCTTAGCTGGATACATTCTCTAAATAGTAGTTCACCATTCAGATCTTCTAGCCAGGGAATTGTGTGTTGGTCAGAGATCATGTAATAGTATTGAAATTGTTCTTCCCCCATAAAGATTGTGGAGAGAACAACAAGTATCCATATATCTTCATTTGCTGTGTTTTGTAACACATCAATAAAATCCTTATGGTGATATAGACTCAGATAATGTCTTATGTTCATTGGTGTAAATGTATTCTAAATCTCCATTGTGTAGGTGTATCACTTATAGTATAACTGGCTAGCACTAACATTTGTACTGTGATAATAATAGGTACTACCCAATGAGTGGATCAATTCCTGCCAATTCCCATATGTTGCAGGCCTGTTGATAGCATTAAATTAAGACTATGGAATAGCAACAAAGACAACCTACCCAGGATTATAGATTTCACTATCAAGGTACATGTGAAGGTAGTGTCTCCTTTTTCTCTATACCCATAACAGATTTAATCTTGTGAGCCAGGGGTTTGATAAAATCATGAACCTGATGGAGAGATATTATGACCTATTATTCTACTAATAATTATTACTTGAGTTTCCAGTGCCACCAGTATTTCCTTTGTCAGTAAAAGATCCTTCTGCTCTCTTAAGAAATGAAAATATGATCCTTCCAACAAAATAATTCAGCTTTGTTGCACAGTAATACAGTAGTCCATACTGAAGATCATCTAAAGTCATAGAGTTAAGTTAAGTTGCTTGATAAGCTCCTCAATCTCATTCTTAGGCTTCATTGAAGTGACTATAATATTATCCTTGATTTTTGTGGAAACTTCTTTAGGAATTTTAGAGCCAAAATGATTGTCTTTGTGTTTAGGGGTTTCTTTGATATAAGAGTGTTTCCTATGAGATTTCTTTGTTCCTGGACCTATCTTGGTCCAAATATGTGTCACTTTTTTCCATCAAAAATTTCTGTCATGTCCAATCATGCTAGCCCACTTGTCCCATTTACTCACACTACTTCTCATTCTTTCTTGTTCTCTCCTAAAAGTTTTCTCTCTCTCCTTGATGCTACTACATCATTTGTCTTAATCAAAAATTCGTCTCAGCATGTCTTATTTGTTTGGTCTTGCAGGAGAAGTAAGTGCATATGTCTTATCCGATCCTACAAGCACATGCAATAATACTTATTTTCTTATCCTTGCTCTGTGCTCAAAGATGTCTGCAGCCAAAATCCTTGTAGTTTCTGACATCCCTCTGCCTCAGGATAATGAGTGATTGATAAGTGGTTGCATTTTATGCCAGAATTTCGAATTTCATGCAGTTTCCTGCAGTCAGTTATTGTTTTGTTTAGTCTACTTTGCTGGTGTGTTCTGTTTTATAGAAACATCTGTGTGTGTCCTAATGGAAAACTTCCCTTTTTCTCCCAGAAACATCTGAGAACTATTTCTGATCTGTATGCTGTTCCTTGGCATCTGAGTCATCACAAAGACAAACTGTGTAATGCTCTGTGAGTGTATTCTTGCTCATCATTCATGTCGATCTCTCTCTTATAGTTTCAAGCGTCTTTGCAAGTTACGAAGGTGCCAGTGACCTATTGCACTTTGCACTGTTGAATAATGAGACACTTGACTTGTTTGACAAAGACAACTGAATGCTAATACAGGAATCATCAATAAGTGTTTTGTCTGTATCAGATACTTGCAAAACCAAAGAAGAGTGTTGTATAAAAAGAGCTGCTTGTGAGGCAGGCAATGTCAAGGTGGGCTGGCTGACTTTATAGGGCCATATTTCTGTGCCTAAGAGTATGCCAGTGAGATCATAATTTTGTGACACTGTCATACCTCATTTTAATACAAACATCAGTATTCAAACATACCATTTTCTGTAGTTTCTTGTCCTACCAGAATTTCTGTAATTTTCGTAAGAGGGCTATGATATTCTTTCCATTACACAGTTGTTGGTGGTACTTTTCAACATCCAGTCATTGAAGATAAATTAGGTGAGGAAATGAACTTCCATTTTTTGACATCTGACAAGACATGATTCCTCTTCCAGAACTAGACAGACCTTTTGAACTTAGGTCCCACAATATCTTTGGGGCTGGTATGACTTCCATCAAAGGCCATGAACCTGTCTACATTCACATTGGACCTTTGGGACACTACAACATCAACCTCACTGATGCTGATGGGTAAGTCCATTTTTTATTAAATTTATATTGAAGGTGCTTGATATCTTACCACATTCATGTACAGATCCATGCATATCAAAAGCAAAAGAGCTATCTATTCTCTCAGAGTTCCCTCCAAGCAATACAGGATGCACTTTCAAAAAATATTTCTACTGCACCACACCATACAGCTCATCATGGCATCTGCCATAAAGCAGCCAGAACGGGAATACAAGGATTTCTTAAAGGAGTTTTTGAAGATGAAAATCATTGGCGATACCTCTGACGAGGGCAACATTTGGGATTGCATGAGTTTCATTTACTTTCTTGTGTTACTGCAACCTTTTACTAAATTTATTTGTAGGTTCCATGACTAAGACATGCGGTAGAAAACCTAAAGGGCAATCTGCACACAACAAATATTGTTCAGTTCCTCTTGTACACCCCTCACCCTCAGATGATTCTGAGAACCACAAAGCCATCTGGTCTTTGACATGTGTGCCGAAAGACCAAAACCAAAAAAGAGTTGGAGGTAATAGATTTGATGCTGTTGGATTGATTTATACATGCAGAATTATGGACTATTGTAGCTAGTGAAAGAGTCTGTGTCATTAGGGAATCTATCATACATACTGCTTATATTACATGTACTATATGTGTTCAGTTGTCTCAATATCACAATTCTATTTGAAGAGGCAGAAATTCAACCAGAACATACAATAGTTGCAGTCTTCGCTCCAAATAAGTATCTCAGTATCCTGCCTAAAAGGAACTTACATTATCTGTTCTTCCTCCTTGCACATATGTCTAGTTACATATGAGTTACATATATTTTGTTCTGGTCTTAATCAAATATGTTACCACACCTGTGGCAAAATATACTGTTTGATTAAGGAAGATGAAGTCACCATTATATCTTAAGTATGTGAAGATGCATGTAAAGCAAGTCAGAAAAGAAGTCTGAGTGACAATCATAACTAAAATAGATCAGACACAAAAATGTGTACTAGATTCTCTAACTTGAATCTACTCAATCTTATCTCAAAACTTCTTCCTTCAAGAGTCTCTCCGCTCTTGTCTCCAGTATGACTTTTTTAAGTGCTCCACACACCTCAGGAATCACATCTCCAAGGAAGATCTTGGTGAGGAGGCTCCACCTCACTGAAGAACTGAGGACCAATGAGGGTCATAATATTAGAGATAGAATTGTTGTTATCTGGCAAAGTGGGTATAGATAAGATACAAAATAGGAAGAACTAGCTGATCGAGCTATATTGTATGTGACATGATGAGTCCAGTGATGTGCTAGTATTTAAAGGGGTACTCAACAACCAGATGGGAGAAATGCCCCCATGTAAGTTGGGTGTGCAAAAATCAGACCTACAATTATTAAGAAAAGCAGAGCCACCACTCTAATATATTCATCTTAAACATGAACTTCATAGTATAATAAAGCTCTTACCTCTATCTCATAGATAGAAAATCACATGTTGCCATTCACAATAAGTAAGAATCCAACATGTTACAAGATATCATGGGGTGGATACATAAGAGTGAAATATTTTTAGGCCACTACAAACAAACATTAAGATATGAAAGAATAACTTGAAGGATAATAGCCTCACACATAAAGGCGAGATTTGATGTTTATGTCTAATATATTCTATGAATATGAATTGGCTAGATGTACGTCTTTATCAATCCTTTGGCTCACTTTGGTACTTCTTTACAATATTGCCAATCCTGGTACACCTTCATTATCCCTGGTGTGGTGCCAATAATACCTACTAGTGATTGAAGTAGTAACAAGTGGGCTAAACAAACACATATCTGGATCCTTATTAGTAAGGTCTTATTGGATGCTGTTTTCTCCCATCTTTCTGGTTCTTCTGTACTAGCAAGATGCAACTACCAACAATCAGTCCAATCTACACATATGTGCAAATAATCAATCAAGTTCTGAGACTTCTGCCTATTAGTATAAGTACAATCTGTATTGTGTATTATCTGTATCATTGCTGATGACATTTTGCTGCAGAATAAGGAGGTTTGCTATTGTCAATTGATAGATGCTTTGATTGACTTTTATCTTCTAGCCTTTCCATAGTACCAAGGTGAGTAGAGAAATTGGCAATGAGGTAAAGATGTGCTAGGGGAAGTCATGTGATCACAATGCAATAGAGAAGTACAAGGGTAAGTCAAGAGATTGGTAATGTGTAAAAAGTGCCAGGGAGAGTTGAGGAATTGACAATATGATAAATGTGTGCCAGGAAGAAGTCAGAGCATCCTAAAGATGATCATGATGAAGAGTATGAATATAGTGATATTATCAATTCTCATAATTAAATGTATGGCTAGTTGTAAATATCTTGTCCAGCACCTGAATAAGTCACTCTGTGCTGGCAGCAAGTCATTGATCAAAGAAATCAAGCTCCTCCATGCCAACATATAATCTCCATCATCATCTTATTTATCATTATCATTAGCAAGACCTTGCCAATACATACTTTTCCTAGATGTTTCCCTACTTTCCAAAGATTCATTTTTCTGTCAGCACTCAAGGGCTATATCTGAAGGGTAGCTGGAGTTTGTGTGCTGTACCCCTTATCTGAGTACATACCTTTAACTTTTGAGGGCTAAATGATGAAGTTTGAAAGTTCAGAATCCAGATGTGTAAGATTTCCAGCAGATATTCAGAAACAAGAGGTAAGACTAATCTAAATGAAGCCCAAGAAAGAGACAAGCAGTGGAAAACTACTGAATGTAAAGATAAATATGTATGGTTAATAGACATCAATCCTAAGACTATCAGAGCATGATAGGAGGAGAAAATCAAGTAGGATGAAGGCAGGAATGAGCAGAGTCCAGAATGATATTCAAACTGAGGATATACAGAGAGTTTATATACTGTAGGAGACATAATACAGTTAGCACAGTACAAGGCTATATATGATTATTCACCTCTACAGTATGCATTTTTATGTCTTTATATATCTAATTGTGCTATTACATTTACAGTATCACTCCTTGCACTTTGCTACCTATTTATATGACTTTCGGACCTCCCTAGGTCATTCCTAGATCAAGTTATTACTTGCCTTTTGATTATAGCTTATCTATTTATTGTTTACCATATGTTGCCCATATTCCAAAGTCCAGTACTCTCTGTCTCTTTAGTAACTTACTCTAGACTCTAGGTACTATACAACTTCACTATACTATATTATTCAATAGTTTGACAACTTACTCTGGACTCCAGTCTGATCTCTTCTGGTCTCTCAGTAGCCCTCTATAATTGGCCCACTTCACTCTCATCTTAACACAATTGAATACATGTTTATTTACTTAAGTCATTTGGATTACATCTAGATCCCACTGATAAATACTAGACAATTATATATGCTAATGCACCCAAGACTCTGTTTATTGCAGTCTAAAAACGCTATGTTCTCGGCTATAGTATGATGCTAGCAATCAGAACTATGAGATTTCAAAATCATGAGATTTGGCATCTGTTCCATACAGCTACAGTAGATAACAGTAGGTTTCCATTAATGCTGTATATTGATAATTTAATATAGATGAGCCCATATAGCAGGAGCATAATGCTGTATAATGAAAAATCAGTTGACCTCATATAAAGCACTATTGTTATATTAGTTGTGCAAGTGACATCACTGAGCAGCAGTAAGTTACATCTTTAAAACTCTTCCACTTCTTCCAAACTCCATACACTTAATACAATTTTATTTTACATGTTCTATCATTTTCTCCCTCAATCCAGGCCAGTGCTTATTCTCTTCTTCCTACTCATATTCCAATGCAATTTATAATATCCTTAGATCCCAGTTATCATGTTGAATTAAAAGAATGTATGAAAAGTACTAATACATGTAGTCTAGTACTAGTCAACCTAGAATTAGAATAGTACTATCCAGATGGCTACAAGTGGGTTTTTGTATTATTTTCTGGTGCTATTTGCTGTCTAATTTATATTTTGACTAGCATTAGCAAAGGTTCCTAGTTGATAGATATACTAAACCATTTGGAGGCCAAGGTGGATCAGGTAATTCAGCCTAACCAGATTGATGACCCAGAAGACTGATATCAAGACTGATATCAATGCTCACAAGAAAGCAATCTTCTTAGAAATCAACAGAGTATAGAATGAAATGTAGATAATGGATAAGCATCTAAGCAATAAATATGCTTGATGAATTAACTGCATTCTAGAAGACCTTTTTGGATAGAATCTTGGATTTGTTCAAGCAATAATGGTAGCTATAGTTATAGTGATATGTTCAAAGATGTTGTACTAGGATTGTCATGCATTAGAATATATAGCAAAGATTTTCATTCCACAAACCCTTGCCTATGTTATATCTGTCTGTGAAAATTCAGAAAAATATAGGCAACAGTTGTAGCACAATATCAAATTTAATGTCCCACATTATAAGATATGAGGTCCTACAGACTATGGGAAACATGTAATCACATAGTCTAAGATATTAGTAATGTGTGAAATGATGTACTACACATTTCCTCTTATTTGTTTTACATTATATCTCTATAGCCTCATAGAGGTCTAATTTTCCATCCTTCCAAATGCTTCCTTAACTCAAGGTAACTACTCTTTTATTTAGCTTGTACAGTGCCTTAGCATATGCTCACAAATGCAAGTACCAATTGTTATATGCTAGCACATAACTGTTGTTCATTCTCCACTTATCCTTCTCATATTCATTTTGGTTCATGAGTATATGTTTCTGTCATATTATATCTATATATACTCTAACAATATCTCTGGCATTTTATAATATTTCAATTATTGTTATGTCATGAATCCTTAATTACATATATACCTTTTATATAACTTTGCTTGGTTTGCATGTCCTAGGTACCTAAAATGAATTAGATTCTGATTCATTTAACTAAGGCACAAATTGGTGAGACAATGGTTTCTAGAAAATTATATTAACCAAAGTCTAGTTGGTCAAATGAGCAGATATCCAACCTGACTCAAAAGTACTTGACATTATACCTGGACAAAGATCAGCTACAAATTGCTTTGAAGAAACCACTCAAGCTCATTGGATATTAAGAGCATCACAAAGTTCAGGAACACCAGCTATTGTAGTATGCGGCAGCAGAATGATCTGAAGACATTTGTGTATGTAGGTTGGCCACCTTCAGCACATTTGACATCTAGGCAAAACACCTCACCAAATGTGCTGACTACATCACAAAGGAAAGGAATTTGGATAGGGGGGTCATAGACAAATGCCTAATAGGTAGGACATTCATAATATTGACCAGGAAGAATTAGATACCTGCTATATAGCATCTCTACTTCATGAATGAACAGGTCTGAGTAGTCCTTGAAATACTCTAGAACACCTGAGTAAACATTAGAGAGCACATCCTTCCAAATGCACTGCTCAAACTAGTTCACTAAGCAGTGAAAACAATATGTATAGTGGCAGTTAATCAACCTGTTTGTGCATATTAGTATATCAGCAGCCTCTAAGCATGGTGTTTAATATCAGCTCATGTAACAGGTATTTCCATAGCCATGAGACAGATTTGGCATTATAATGCAACATCCACAGGTTGCAACAACTACCAGAGGGACGCATTAGTCTTTAATATAAAGTGAGAAACTAGAAGCCTACACCCTGATAAATAGTGGTAATTGTATCTTGCTTTATACAGACCTCTTCTCT